AACTACTCCCGATTGTAGGAGAAACCATGATAATTGCTTGTGTATTGTCTTGCTCTCTTATTTATTTTTTTATCAATATCATCTGCTGTCATCACTATCATACTATGACTCAGATTTTGTCCTTGAGATCAGAATCTGATAAGAGATTTATAAGAGAAAAAAGAGAAAAAGTCAACACAATTCACCCATTCTTGTGTTTTTCTCACCTTCACATTCTTTGTAGGAAATTTTTAGAGGAACTAAAAATGAAATTGGAAATATTTATGATGATCAAAAACATATTTGACCCTAAAAGTAAAAGACAAAGAATCATAACAGGGTGATTCTATTTTTTCCCAGTTTGACAATACTGACAAAAAATTGATTTACATAGCAAAAATTTGTTTTGATGAAAGTGAACTTAAAATAAGAGTTCTTAGATGCCCTAAACGAATATGCCATAAATCAGTGAATGGAGTTACAAAGGTGGGTGGTAGTATTGTTGGAGTGTTTGTTCTTATGGGAATAAGATAAAGGTCATCCAAACTGTTACATCTCACTAAAATCATTCATATATGAAAACCCTTTTTAGAAAATCGAAAGGATCAAACTCAACAGATACATCATTATCAATTATAAAATTTATGACACATACAAGATTCTTTATTAGTTTTTGTGCATGTAAAACATTATTTAAGGTAAAGGAAATACGTAAATATGCATGTCCACAACCAATAACATGATTATGATGACCATTGCCAATTGTAATATTATTTCTCATATTAAAATAAGACACGAGATTACCTCTATTTGCCGTCATACGAGAGGTTGCTATGTTGTACTTATACCATTGATCATTAGGAGGAGAGATGGAGAAAATATGCATAATAACTTGGATATAAATCAGAGCATATGGATACAATGCTTGTTGACAAGCAAGAGTCCATGAAGTAGTTGCTATGTGAGCTTACCATGGCTTGGGCCCGAGTATACCTGATTGTTTTTGTTAAGTTCCCATTGTTAAAATAAGAACATAATGGAGTAGCCCATGACTTCCATGGATATACCTAATGCTGTTGTTTCAAATACGTAAGAGGGATCCACTGATGATGATGATAGGGAGATGAAGGTCACTATTGTTGCGTAGGCTGTGATCAACCTCCACCACGACCATTGTTCCTTCCCTTGTCATAACCACTATACCATGCCTCAATTTATCTTGATTGTCAGACATTTTACCTGTAACTACACTAGAAAAACCATATCATAATCAAAGAAGCCAAACCCAGAAGACAGAACATGCAAAATCAAACAATCTATGCATATCAGGAAAATCCAAAAGTTAACTTCCGTACCAGGAAAAACCAGAAAAACACGGAACACGAACATAAAAAAACCCTACACTCTAAACTTGAAAAAAATCTACACGCATGCATCATAGACCAATCTATTAAGCTTTTAGCTACAACCTAATAAATCATAAACAACCTATTTAGACAATGTATTAATCACAAACCAAAAAAGGAAGGAAATAAAAAACTTACCAAATTGTGAGAAAGCTTGAAAATGAGAAATACCGATTGAATAAAGTGGAGTAAAGGTTGAGTGATGTTCTAGGCTTGAATGCAATGCAGTAGAAGTAGAGAGGAAACTTGAAAAATGATGCAAATGATTTTTGCTCACTATCTCTGTTTAGGGTTTTGAGTAAACTTTCTGAAATGAAGAAGGAAAAGGAAATGTATAACACATTATATAAATCAATATGGTCTGAACCATAACCATCATATAAAATACAGACATTAACTTCCATAAGAAATATAAACAGTAACTTCTGAATTTTTTCAACTTTGTTTCTTAACCTAGATTTGAGACTTAGTTAAAATTAATTTTGGATGTGTCTAGAGATTAAATTACATATTTTAAAGATATTATTGATTTTTTACTAGGGGTGGGTGAGTACCATTATCGGTGCGAAGAGTAATGTCCAAAGTTAAACTTTAATGACTTTTTAAAAAAGAAAGTAGTTTTTGAAAAGCCATTAATTCCTCAAATCACCCCCAAAAGTCTTCACACCATAACCGTCTTACGTGTTCCATTTCAATTGGTCAACTCACTTGTTCTCAGCATAAGCCATCTTCTTGGGCTTTCTACCGAAAAAAAGGCTTCACATTTCGCGAGGGAAGAAAGAACGGCCCAGCCTCGGATCCGAAGCAATCAGCTTCGGCCTCCGAACCTCAGGTCGGGACCGAACCTCGGTGTTGTTCCTCTGTTCGTTGAAAAATTTGCACTATTTCGATCACTTTATCTGTGTGAGCTAAGAAACTCGTTTTTCCTTCTTCCACCGCTCCGAACCCTAACGCTTTGATCTTCAACACTTTCGCAAGATCAATTTTGAGCTTCAACGGAACCTCCTCAATGTCACTGTGAGTTCACCAACTCCATTTCTATCTCTAAAATCCCTAGTGTTCTCTCTCTAGGAACCACTCAATAAATCCCATTCGTCTATGGCTTTCCTTATTGGGCACGATTTCTGGTACTCGTGTGGTTGTTTTGTGTCCCTGAATCCATTTGAATGCTGATTTTGAGCTTGAATTGTTCTGTATTTCCGATCTTTTGCGTTCTGGCGGTGATTTTGAGATTTTGGAGTTATTTTCGGTTATGAGATTGGTTCAGCTGATGAGAGAGTAGGGGTAAAGAAATAGTAATTGAGTTTTGTTTTTCTTGCTTTCGTTCATTTCTTTAGGAGCTGGAAAATTTTTAGCTTAGGTAAATTGTGCACATTTCATGTTAGATTTTCAATCTCGGTAATGTTTTACTCTTGCCTAGCTCGTAGTGTTTGATTCCATGTGTTTCTTCATGGTTTCTGTTTCCTTGCATTGGGGAGGAGACTGTGAATTCTTTGCATGCCATTATGAGCTTAGTCTTATGTAGGTCTACCTTGTGGTCTACCTTGTAGTCTATGAAAAATGAAGGAGAAGGGTTTCTTCTACTGGAAAATAGAGTCACTTGAAATATTTATTTATGCTAGAAGATTTTTCTGTTAGTATTATGCTAGATAATGAAGACGGGTTAGCTATAAATTATAATTCTATCGCAGTGAATGCAATATGAATCTAGAACTGGAAGCCATGAACAGAGGTGTGGATTCTTGTGGTGAAACTCTTGTTACCGTTGTAGTTGAAGTGTATGTGTGCACACAAACTCAAAGGGGATGTGGTTGATTGAGATTGTAGATTTTTTGAAGTTTTTTTGGATAAGTATGCTCTTTGGGATGTTTATTTGCTATGGTTTTGTAATAAATTGGAGTTTGCTTTCAGTTTTGTGGAGTTACTGCCAGTTGCCATAAATGTGATGCATTTTTCAAATGTCCGGAGGATGATAATTTATGGTGGTAATTAAAACAAAGGAGAGGGAGTCTGGCATAGAAAATATGGTGGATGTCATTACTAGAATAACCCTCATTGATGTACTTGGTTTAATAATTTTCGGAACCTCTCTATTCCCCATTTTGATGCCTAATGTGCATCTGATACCTGTATTTCAATTACATATATAACTTCGAAGGGGAAGTAAAGCATATTTTATTTGTTTGCTCGTTTGTGAGTTAATGATGGTGAAACTTGGTCGGTAATGTAAAAACTTCTTTTTATAAGTTGATGCTTATGGCGAAGAGACTTTTCTATTTGAACCTTCTGTAGTTTCAGTACTGAGGTAGGCGCAGGAGGATAGTTAGGTCAAGTATAGGTAAGAAATGTGTGAATGTAAAATATTTCTGAAAATTTACAGCTTATACGTCGAGCGTGTAACAATATCTTTGATTCAACTCTAACACTTGAGTTATTCCCGAGTATAAAACCGCAAACTTCATTCTTTATGTTCCTCTTACATTTCTCCCATTTTTTTCCATGTTTAAGATGGAACGCTTAAATCCTTAATGTTGGATATATAACCCGATGAACCTCTAGCTTTATCTTACACCACAGACAATTGATGCATTTCACTTGAGTGCTTTTTTCATCAGTGAAGCAGTTATGCCCAAAGTTTATTTTGATTACGTCAGAACTTTTTTAAATTTGGTGGTCTGCAAGGAAAAAAAAAGCCTTAGGGCTGCTTTTAGCTTGGCAACACTGTGCTTATTATAAAATGTTCATTTTGCATCTTGAAAAACTTATTTTGTATGTGAGCTCTTTGCATTTCACTGTTGTGCACATCTATGTTGTCAATAGCATGCTATAGCGAAATAACGTAGCGGTGGTAGGGTTCTGCGCGACGCCATTGGCCCCCGAGCCACTGTCAACAATAGCGGTTGTAGCAGCCGCTAATTGCGGCCCCAAACCGCTATCGTAGCCGCTATTGCGTCTGCTTTTAGAATCACGGGGATACATTCCTGATTCTTTTTCTTACACTGTTGTCTTTTTTTAATTTTTTAAGGGTATAAATTTCAATCCGAACCCTTTGAAGAGCAATGTTGTGTTCCTGCTCACGAATTGTCAGTCTGTTCTTCTTCCTACATTTAGTTTAGCTATGTTTTATTATGCTTAAATTTTATTACTCTATACTTTAGGTTCTTTAGCTATTAAGTATGATGAGCTTTTTTATTTTTTGTATTAGTCTATTTTTGAGTATTTATGTTTACTTTTTAAACACTGGTTTTTAATCTTTGCAATAGCGGCTATCCTACTATAGCATTTTAGGGGGTCAGTGCTATGCAACACTATCCAAGATTAACAACATAGGTCCATTTGATCAATGGTTGTGCATGGTATCTTGCATGGCATGAGACGTCAATTATCTATCCTATCCCATGTTTTGGCAACTGGTTTCTTAACAATTTCATACATCAAATGAACTTTTACTAGCAGACTAATTTTTTTCTTAAACAATTTCCAGGAGTAAATGATAGTTGCTCAGAGGAGTGTTTTTGGACATAATATTTGGAGAAACTTTTTCTTGATCTTCCTGGATTCACTACGGCTTCTTATAAATAGCTGTATGCTGAAAAATTGCAAGCTGGGTCATCTATGCCTGGAAACGAGGTAGGAGACAGGGTTCATAATTTTTTTGGTCAAGAAAACTTGTCCCAAGGCCAGTATCACTCACAGGCAGTTGACGGGAACTGGCCTGGGCTAAGCAACAATTTGTGGGCTGGCAGCCAGAGACCAACTGGTGGACCTTTTCTTTCCAATTTGAAGAATTTTAATCTACAACAATCAGGTGGAAGTTTATATGTAATTTATATGTTTGATTGATATATCTTACATATATTTTTTATTAATCATACTTTTCCTTTTACATGTCCAAAGATTCTGAGCAGGGACACACAAGTGCTCTACATCTGCGACATGGTTTGAACCTGGTACAATCAAATCAGAGGCCTGACATTGGCAGAAATCAAACACCAAACCAGCAAACAGCTGTTAATGGCTATATGCAGGGACATCAGGTTTTCCAGTCTAGGCAAAATGAAGCAAGCATTTTGGGAGTGGATACAGGAGCTGATTTGCATGGCATATCAAGTCTATCAAGAGGAGTAACAGTGCTCGAGTCACAACACGGGGCTGGTTTTGACCACTATAAGAAAAGCTTGAGTAGGGTTGATGCTACAGAGTCTCCTGTTAATTATGATTTTTTTGGAGGTCAACAGCAAATAAGCAGTCGACAATCAGGCATGCTTCAGTCTTTTCCTAGACAGCAGTTAGGGATAAATGACATGCAGCTTTTACAACAACAAGCCTTGCTCAACCAGATGCAAGAACTTCAAAGGCAGCAACAATTTCATCAACTAGAAGCAAGGCAACATTCCATGTCTCCAGCTTCCTCCATTTCAAAACAGACAGTTGCAAGCCATTCTGCATCTCTTATTAACGGCATTCCAATTAATGAGGCATCTAACCTTATGTGGCAGCCTGAAGTTATGGCAGCTAATGCAAATTGGCTCCAGCGAGGTGCATCTGCGGTTATGCAAGGATCCACTAATGGTTTTGTGTTATCCCCCGAACAACTGCGCCTGATGGGTTTGGTTCCTAATCAGGGAGATCAGTCTCTTTACGGGCTTCCAATTTCTGGCTCAAGAGGTGCACCTAGCCTGTACTCTCATGTTCAAGCAGACAAATCAGCAATGTCTCAGGTTTCTATCCAAAACCCGTATTCTCACGTTCAAGGTGACAAACAATCATTACCATCCATATCAACCAGCGTTAATGCATTTCCAGCTCACCACTATGCTGCTATGTCAGATCAAACTAACCTAAACGATGGAACTTCAGTTTCTAGACAAGATATTCAAGGAAAAAATATGTTTGGTTCAGTTGCTCCTGGTATTAATAGCGGGCTAAATATGGAGAACTTGCAGCAAATGAATTCTGAGCAAAGAGATGTACCAATGGAAGATTTTCACGCGAGGCAAGAACTGGCTGGATCATCCGAGACTTCACAAGACAAGTTGACAGTGCAGGCTCCTCCACATAATGTGGCTACACTAGATCCAACTGAAGAGAAAATTTTGTTTGGTTCTGATGACAACCCTTGGGATGGATTTGGCAGGAATTCTGCTTTAAATATGCTGGATGGTTCAGATGGTTTTAGTGGATTTCCTTCTCTTCAGAGTGGGAGTTGGAGTGCACTGATGCAGTCTGCTGTAGCTGAAACTTCTAGTAGTGAAGTGGGTATACAAGAGGAATGGAGTGGTCTAAGTTCTCGGAATACTGAACGTTCATTGCCAAAAGAAGGACCTTCACCCATTGATAGCAACAAACAACAATCAGTTTGGCCTGATAATAATTTGCAGTCTGCCCCCAATATAAACTCAAGGCCTTTAATTCGTCAAGATGATCTTAGCAGGCCCAGTTCTACTGTAAACTTTTCTGGTCTTCCTGGATTTCATCAGCCAGGTGCTGATACTGCACAGGAACAGCATAACAGGTTACATGCAGATTCTTCTCAAAGATCAATTCCCCAGACTTTAGAAAGAGGTAAATGGCTAGATTGCAGCCCTCAGCATAAACCAGGGGCAGAAGGAAGTCATATTTATGGAAATGCTGCTAGTTCCTCAGGTTTAGAAATAAATGAAAATATTCAAATAAGTGAGCCATTGAATAGGTCTAATGGATGGAATTATGTCAAATCAGCCCCACCTGATAACAATCCTACTCCTAAAACTCGTGAAAATGAAAACGTGTTTCAGCCTCATCGAGATATGGGCCAGGTTCCTACAATGTGGGAGCCTGATTCTGATAATAATTCATCTGTTGCGCTGGAACATGTAAAGTCTGCAGGTAATCTGCAGGTTTGTGAGGAAGATTCTGATATGAATGGTATGTCTGCCATGCCAAATTCTGGTGCTACATGGGTAAGCCGACCAAGCAACCATCAACATTCTAATGTTGACACATGGAGGAATACAGACTCTGTGGGGAGCTATGGAAGAAATGAAGGTGCAGGGAAATATAGGCATCATATGGAGAAGAATCCTTTAGTTTTGGAGTCATTACAGAGCGAGAAGTCAGAAGGAGAAGCATATGAAATAGACAACTCAAATAAAAAGGATAAATCTGCTGATAGTATGGAGTCTAATCCCACCCATCACCGAGCTAGTGGTGTGAGAGAAAATCCCAGTTTTGATGGAAGTGATATGCACAGCCCAAAGTTACCTGGTCAGGGAAATCGAAGACCTCCTGTAACTCGGAAATTTCAGTATCACCCAATGGGGGATGTTGGTGTTGAGACAGAATCTTATGGAAACAAACATGTAAATTCACAGCCTATTCCCCATCAACCCTTTGGAGGGCTTAAAGGTCGGGACCAGAGCTACTCAGGGCAGTCAAAATATGGTCATTCTGATGGGAATTATACTGAAACAGAGAAGGTAAACTCTTGTTATGCATGAACCACTACAGTAATTGCTTAAAGTGTTCTTTTCTTTTCCAGTTGCAGAGAATCAGAATAAATTCCTTAATTTGACAGAGGTGAGAACTTGTTTTTCAGGGTGACAAAAAAAGCTTTGATGATAATGCTTCAAAAGCTGAACTGTCTAGTCATGTACCGAAAACGTTAATGCCATTTGATAGAAATGTTGGTAATTATTCCTCGAACAAGACTGCTTCACCCAGGTAATTGAATTAAAAATCTTCTTTTTGCATCTGTTTTTTGCTTGCAAACAAATCTACTGTTTCATCATGTGATAGTCCCTTCTAAATTATTGTTTCTTCAATTAGTAGTTTAAGTTGAAAATAACTGTAACTGCTCGTTTTACGTTTTCATTTGCTAAATTATATTCCAAATGGGGCTGCAACTTGGTTTACTTTTCTCTTTCCTTTTCCCGCTATTTTTTTCTTCATAATGTGCACGGTGACATTAGCTCAACTGTTTGCCTTGGTTTGTTAAAATTATTGTAGTCATAATATTCTTGAGCTTCTTCATAAAGTGGATCAGTCAAGGGAGCATGGCTTTGCAACAAATACGAGCACTTCTAACTGCCATTTATCTTCCAGGGTGATGGATACAGAATCTTCTAATGGGTCTATTGTACATCCTCAACAAAATCAAAGCTCTTCATCTCAGGGCTTTGGTTTACAATTGGCTCCTCCTACTCAAAGGCTTCCTGCGGCGTCTTCTCATGCTTCATCACATGTTGCATCTGAGATGATAGATAAGGGTACTTGGTTGGCTGATGCTCAGGCTATTCCTTCTCGAGAGTCATCTCATGAAATTAGAAATAACATTGCTGGTTCCCCAAGGCAAGTTTTTGATAAACCTTCACAGTATAGTCCACTGGGTAATACTCAGCAGGCTTTCACATCTGGCTTTCCTTTCTCCAGGGTTCATGCACAAAATCAGAATATGGCTAGTCTTGGAGGACAAGTAGCTAATAATCAATGTGACAGTGCAAGCCATGTTGACCGAATGGCTTCAGCTAATCAGATAGATGAATATTGTGAAAGAGCTCAAACTAGTCAATCTGCAGTGTCATCTGCTCAGGATCTTCCCATGCTGAGTGGTATAAATCAAATCCATCCTGGAGATCCTGCCATGCAAATTTCAGCATTGGACGCTGGCACAGCTCCTCATCCTTCTGTAAAATTTAATCCATCTCTACATGGTACCCCGTCAAAAGTTTTACGCAATGTATGGACAAATGTTTCTGGTATGCAACAGCCTAATGCTTTGAAGGCTCCATCCCATCCCCAACCAAATAGTATCTTTGAAACTGCATCAAGGCCACAAAAGCCACCTATTGAAGATTCCGAGAATGATGCTAACGACCGCTCTGGGAAACAGACGTTGCTTGAAGTTGTTGATGCTGCTGACGGGACTGCAAATGCTTCATGTGTGAAGGAACATATTGTGAAAAGCATACCTGATGCATCTCAATCTAGCCAAGCAGCGACTCCTAGAGATATTGAGGATTTTGGCCGGTCTTTAAAACCAAACACTTTCTTGCATCATAATTTCTCTACACTAAATCAAATTCAGTCCAGGAAAAATATGGAGTTCAATCCTATTGATCAAGATGTCAACAAATTCAAAGTATCAGATGATGTAGGAGATAGACAGTTTGATTCTAATCATGGACAACGGTCATACGGATACAATTACGCAGTTGAAGATGTTTTGGGTAATAATTCTGCAGTACCAGGTGATGGACGAGAAGCTAATGCATCTTCTGAGGAGGTGGTTGAATATGGTCAGAAAAATGCTGCTAATAGCAACAAGGTAACTTCTCTTAGAAATGATAATCTTACAATAAATCCTCAAATGGCTCCATCATGGTTTGAGCAATATGGAACTTTTAAAAATGGCAAGATGTTGCCAATGTATGATGCACGCGCAATGACTCCAAAAATCATGGACCAGCCTTTCATTGTGAAGAACCAATCTGCCAGTCTGCATCTTGGCAATTCAATGGAGCAAGTAAGTAGTCTCAATAATACTGATCAGCATGGACATGCCAGGCCAAGTCCAGTGCCTACTTCAGTTGCAAGTGTCAATGTGCCTTCTCAGTTATTGCCTCCTGCTGTTGAGCCTGATTTGCATGTTGAGAGACCAAAGAAGCGTAAAAGCGCCACTTCAGAACTTATGGCATGGCATGAAGAGTTGAAACAGGGTTCAGAAAGGCTTCGAGATATCAGGTTGATTTAGGCTAAAATTTATTAATTTTTATGCAAAAATAGCTTTTCAGTCTAAAGTTGTTGTGTGCCTTTTATTATTGGTACTTCTTAGCACAGGAAGCTAATCTAAATACATTTAATGCGTTGCCTGTTATTGATCACTTGAAGTGGAGGTGCATTTCATTCCATAGTGTTTTTGCCATGTGAATATATTGTAATCTTGTTTTATGTTCATTACTTTGTTATCTTTTTTCTTCTAAGAATATTGAGTTTCCTTATTAATTGGCAGGGTGGCAGAATTAGACTGGGCTCAAGCTGCAAATAGATTGATTGAGAAGGTTTGTTCTTAATCATAAGCCTATAGAAATGAAGCTTTAACTTCATTTGTTACCCGCATTCACATTACTTGATGTATTATTCTAGGTTGAGGACGATGCTGAGCTAGTAGAAGTTTTGCCAAGAATGAAGTCAAGAAGAAGACTTGTCTTGACAACACAGCTTATGCAGCAACTACTTAACCCTCCTCCAGCTGAAGTTCTCTCTGCAGATGTCAAGTTGCATAATGATAGTGTGGTTTATTCCGTGTCTAGATCAGTATTAGGAGATGGTTGCAGTTCTGTCTCATTGTGTGGAAGGGATTCGCCAGTGCCAGCTGCTAGCAAAAACCTGTAAGATTTGTTTTTTCCCTTTTGAAGTGAGCATTTGAGGGTTTAGAATGGATCATAGGGTCCAATATCAAGTGAGGCCTATATTATTGTGATTGTGGTGGTGGGGGTTTAGAAGAGCTGATCTTGATCATGAAATTTCACAATGGTCTAGCAAGTTTTTCAAAAGTTACCCAGCCACATTAAAAGTTCCATGACCTTGTATTTTAATCTTGACTATACACACGTCTAGTGATTACGATTGTTCATCTCACCCACAATAAACAACTTCTCTTATTCGATAGGATCCATATGTTCATTCTTGCATTCACTTATGTATAATTTTGAATATAATAATTGAAATTTGCTATTGATGATGCAGCCTGCCCAATAAGCTTAAATCTTCTGATAAAATTGACCAGTACATTTTGAAAGTGGAAGAGTTTTCTGATAGGGCAAGGAAGCTGGAAAATGATATGTTGAGGTACTATTGCAGTTTAAAATTGGATTTTTTCAATCTATTATAATTTTTCTAATGACCCTAGTAGCAAATAATACTGTAGTTTTGTTATTACTCCCTCCGTCCCACAATGAGTGACCCATTTGATTATTTCACACAAATTAAAAAGAAAGGTATAAATGAAAGGGAGAAAGTATTTTTACCAAAGTACCCCTTATCAAGTATTGGAAGTGGTGAAAGTAGTATTTTGAAAAAGAATAATTAATATTGCATAGTAAATTGAAAAGGGTCTATCAGTTTGGGACATTTTTTTTATGCAAATGAATCATTTATTGTGGGACGGAGGGAGTATTCTCTAAAAAATTGTTAAAACCTAAATGTTATACAATATTTGTTACCTTTTCCATTCCTTTTTTGTGGTAATAAAATATCATAGAACAATTGATTCAGCATGTTGAAGCTCTAGCTCTAACCCTTAAGGGTCTGTTTGGTTGAAGGTTTTTTTGAGGGGAGGGGATGGGAGGGAATATTTAAAATGAAGAGTGTTTGGTTCAATATTTTAGGAGGGGAGGGGAGGGAAGAGGAGGGGATCAAACTCTCTCGTAGAGTGATTTTTCGGTTCCTCCAAATTGGGGTTTGTTGGAGGGGAGGGGAGGGATGCTAAAACGTAATTAATTATATTGACGAAATTAACTTCAGTTTTTTTTATAAAAATTATTATTCATCCCTAAGAAAATATTAAAAGTTTATGTTTTGTATCCAAATTCTCTTCTTTTTCTTTGATGTTGGAGTTTTTTCTTTTGTAGTTAAAAACTTGCTCCTACCTCAAATCGACCTCATATTTTATTTTTAAAATTTTGATGTCACTTTTTAATAATTTTTTTGATTTTATTGTATTTGATAATCTTCTTAAGTTATATATTATTATTGTTATGTTTTAAAAAAATATTTTATGATCTCTAATTGAAAACTTATATTTCAATAATGAAAGTATCGTGAGTATTATGATATAATTACAAGAACAAAAAAGTAAATTAGTTTTAAAATATCTCCATTTCCCTTATGAACTTAACATATTTGTAATTAAAATCTTTTCTCTCCCATCCCCTTTCATATTTTGAACCAAACATATATGTAACTAAAATCCCTCCTCCCTTCGATTGAACTAAACGGAGCTAAGCCGCAGTCCATCTGGTATTGAACCAGTTTTCAGAGAAAAGTCTGTATCTATCACATTGTGGGCCAGGCTCTGTTCAGTGGGTCACAAACTCAACTCAAATTTGTCAATGCTAACAAGAACAAAAATGTCCTTGATGATATTGCCGAGGATCCACCACATTACCATGAACTACTTTGGAAAGGAAAACTGATGGACTCTGCTTTAGGTGCAGGAAGAAATTTCATCCTCATTATGTAAGTTTGGAGCATTTTTGGAAAGAGGTGCTGGCCGGTGGTGAGGGAATCAAGGACAGAGAAATCTCATTTTTGGAAACTGCTGGAGAGAAAGAAGAAACGTTGGAATTTAATGCAATGAGCATATTTGGACTGAATTCTAATAGTTGATTGGGGCCATGATGTTATTCCCCATAGGTCACCAGAGCATTGGGATTGTCTGTGAGGTTTAGGCACTGAATTACTTCTACAACCAATATATGAAGAAACTTGTTGGTTTGATTGGCCACCTTGCCTGTTATATTGGATGCTTATGTTGTAGAGCTGGATGGTCTGCACATGGTATTAAGAATGGCTTGGTTTAAATTTTGCATGACAATCAATGTTGTCGAAATTTAAATTTTACCCTGGATCTGGAGAGGGTGAAAGAACATAACTTGTAAAATCTTAACATCCTACCTTAAATGCCCAAAGTATACTTACACACTCGTGCATACAAAATATTACATACAAGGAAATTAACCGCCAAATCCCAATATTAAACTAAAATCATAGGTGCATAAGTCATGGCTCAAGTTTATACCTCAAAACACATAGGTTCGTGAATACAGTCGATCTAACTGTAGCAATTCTAGATAACTAGTCGTTAGCAAAAATGTTTTGTTATTTCACCTGTCACTTTTGGTTGTCATTATATGCTAGCTACGAATTTTGTTACTATTCCTCATTTTATCATTTTTTATCTTGATGATGCAGATTGGAAAGCAGAGCCTCAGTTTTGGACTTAAGACTTGAGTGTCATGATCTGGAAAGATTTTCTGTCATCAATCGATTTGCCAAATTTCATGGACGGGGGCAGAATGATGGGGCAGAGACTTCATCATCCTCAGAAGCAACGGCGAATGCTCCGAAATCATTTGTCCAAAAATATGTTACTGGACATCCAATGCCTGAAAATATCCCAGACAGGGTACAATGTCTTTCACTTTGATAATTAATTAATTCATTTGTCCATCTTTCTTGGTCGGTTGTCTCCGCAATCTCCTGTTTTTGGTCCTTTTCTTTCAAGTTATATTATTGGACTTCATCGCCGTAGAACCATACAACTGGCAATGTAGGAGAAGAACGGTACTAGATTTGCCTCCTCAACCAATGGAGGCTGTTAGATCTTTCCCATCTATATTTTGTATGTATGTATGTATGTCTAGATCTTCGCAATCTAGTTATCTTAAACTTTTGGTTTTCAGGTTCCAACCCTTTTGTATATAGTAAGATAATATATGCAGTTTACTTAGTTTAACCATACCATTTTGCTGGGTTGTCTGATTAGTTACCATAAGATGGTCACTGTTTTTCTTTGGATAGAACATAAGATGTTCAGTGTTAACTCAATCATTTCTTTTCTCTCATTTCCAAATCGTTTTCCTGTATCTGTATATAGTAAGATAATATATTTAGTCTAGCTAGTTTCAACTGCATACCGTTTGGCTAAGTTGTCTGATTAACTTGCATAAGCTGTTTAGTGTTTATAATTTTCATTTTCTCAACTTTAAAGCTTTTTCCTGTATTTGTATACAGCAAGATAAAAGTATATTTCTCGTGCTTAGTTTGAACCATACTATCTTTGCCCAGTTTTGTCTGATTAATCAATAAGGCATAAGTTCTGCTCCATTAAATCATTTAATAATTTTTACAATAAACCATTTCCCAAATGTGGTTTTTCTTGCTGCTGATCTTTCCAATGCCCTTAGGCTGCTCTTTGTTGAGGATGCATGCATTTGTATAAGCAAGCCATTATGTCATTGTAAATTCCTAATATCTAACAATCGGCTACTGCCTGGAAAGATCGTCATTTGCCATTTTAACAAAATTGCAGCAAGTATTTAACTAATGTACTTTGGCACACTGTAACACCAGCCATCAGAATCATCTCGGTCAGAAGCATTGGGAAGTTTACTTTTACTGCTATCCACTTTAACATAATTTGCATTTTCGAGTAAAAACACTTCATGATGGAAAATGTTATCCAAAAAAAATAGGACAATAAATTTAAGAAAGCAACAACAGTAAAACCGGGCTGCTTGCCATCATTTTGCAGTTGTATAGTTAAAGCCAACCAAAGATTATATTTACAACAAATAGCTGTGTATTCAAACTTTTAAGATCTTTAAAAAATATTACGCATTAAGTAATGATATAAAATAAAATAAACATCAATGTCACACCAGGCAATCTAATAAGTAAGTAGCTCATGCACCATAGTTATTATTTCCAGATAATAATGAGATTAGATAATAATATATATTCAAGAGCATTTGAATGAGATTGCATGATTTCATTGAGCTTAACCACACAAGTTTAGTCTCGATGGAATACATCAATTTTTTATCATTGATGATTATCGAAGAGGCTAAATCAACGGTGTGTTGCGATTGTGATCAATGTTTTAAAAACAAGATTAGAGATTGAACCGATAAGAATTTTGATTTAAGGTTTAATTGATTCAACCAATTAAATATACCATTGAATTGTTTATTGAATAAATTAATGATATAAATTTAAATTTCATGGTTAAGTTATACATAATCAATATCAATGTTCACAATTTAATAAAAGAAATATTTGTTATAAATTTAATAAAACAAGATTAATGATAAATATAATAATATAGTATAATAATACGTTTAATTTTTGTTAGAATATTCAATTGGATCAATGAAGGTTTTGTGCTCGTGGAGAGGATAGAGTGAAAAAATTAAGAGAATTAGAGTGAGAGAGTAATTGAGGGTGAGAAGAGAGAATTTCATTTTTATGTATTATAACATTGAGAATATTTATACAAGCTAAAAAAAAAAATTGGGATTCAAAATAATTTAAAAATAAAAAAGCCCAAACACGCGTTGCTAACTGGTTACACAAAATCAGATAACCGATTACCACAACAAAAACAACAGAAACAACAGTCTGCATGTAACTGGTTAGGCTATTCTGTGTAACCAGTTACGAATCTGGAAAATAACTTTTTTCACTTTCAAAAGTGCTTATATAATAACCTGTAACCTCCAAATAGTCTCAAGTAGCTTATTCCATGCATTTGAATTATTATAAGCTTTCAATACACCGCCTTAATTTAAATGCTCCAAGTTCTTCATGTCCAAGCTCTTCTTCAACTTCTTGAACACATCATTTGTGACTCCCTTTGTCAACAAATCAGGAACTTGGTCTTCACTTCTATAATATCTCAATCTTAGCTTGCCTTCACTTACCAACTCCCTCAAGTAGTGAAACTTCATCTCAATGTATTTGCTCATCCCATGTGCAATAAAATTCTTAGCAAGATTAATAGCTGAAATATTATCAATCAAGAGTGCGATAGCCTCACCCTCATTGCTGCCCAACTTCTATCGTAAATTCATCAGACACACGACTTGGCACACACATAACGACATGACAATATACTCGGCCTCACAAGAAGAGAGTGCAAGCATCAATTCATTTTTAGAACACCATGAGATTGGTGCTCTACCGAACATAAAGATGTAATCTCCTGTAGACTTTCAATCATCTTTATCTCCACACCAATTGGAATTAGTGCAATCGAGCAAACTGTATTTTCTGCCAGTATCCGATGCAGAAAGAGAACTCCGCAGTCAATAGACCCTTTGACGTATCTTAGGATTCTTTCGACTGCTGCTAAGTGAGACACCTTCGGTCTCTCAGCGAATCTACTTGTAATACCGTCACTAAATGCTAAATTTGGCAGTGTATTACACAAGTAACGTAATGATCCAATCAATCTCCTATATTGAGTAGGATCCACATCCTGTTCATCCTCACTTTTAGACAGCTGCGACCTTGCTTTAGCTGGTGTTATGGAAGCTTTACAATACTCAATATCACACATTTTCAAGATTTCAAGAGCAAATCTCCTTTGATGCATGAGCAGTCCCATTTTTGACTTATAAAACTCTATGTCAAAGAAGTATGTCATGATCTCAAGGCCAGTCATCTCAAATTCTTTCATAAGCTCACTATTGAACATAAAAATACTTTTCTCATTGTTGCCCGTGATCAATAAACCATCCACATATAGACAAAGTATGATCACATCTTCAATTTCACCCGACTCCACATTCATGCTCGGACACACATTTCTTGAAGCCACCGTCAATTAGGAAACCATCTATCCGTTTGGTCAAAGCTCTCAGAGCTTACTTCAAACCATATAATGTTTTTCTTAATTTGTAGAACTTATCCTCTTGATTATTCACAACAAAACCAGGGGGATGTTCTATATATACCCCTTCTTCAAGCCGACCGTTCAAAAACGTGAATTTCACATCCATTTGATAGATCAACCAATTGTTGTTATTTGCAATACCAATAACCAACCGTATGGTTTCAAGTCTAGCAAATGGTGCAAACACCTCATCGAAGTCTATACATTCTCTTTGCAAAAATCCCTTCACAACTAATCGAGCCTTATGCTTGATTATCTCACCTTTGAGATCTGCCTTCACTTTATAGGCCCATCTCACACCAATTGACTTCTTACCTTTCGGTAAATCAACCAAATCCCAAGTACTATTTTCTCAATCGATTCTAGCTCCTCTTTCATCGCACACACCCACTTTGGATCACTTAATGCCTCTTCCATATTAACGGGCTCAGATTCAACCATAAGCGCAAAGCAAACGAAATCACCATAATCATTGATCTCATTATCTCAGAATACTTCATAATCTTGGAGTCTCTAAGGCAAACCTCTTTTCCTAGTTGGTCGCCTACCATTTTTCACGATTCCGACTTTGATAGGTTGCTGTTCTGTATCTCCTGCAACCTGAGAATTGGAAATTTCATGCCCGTAACCAGTTACAAGATTCTGGTAACCAGTTACACCTTCTGTAAAACCAGTTCCAAGAGTCTGGGAATCTAAAAATTCGCGTTTGTAACCGGTTACAACATTCAGGTAATCGGTTACAAAACCTGTCAAAACAGTCTTTCTGCTGTCAAAACACTTTAGTTCGTCAACCACGACATCTCCACTGATCATGATCTTCTTGTTTGCAACATCAAGCATCTTATAACCTCAAGTAGGATGATAACCAACGAGTAACATCATCTCACCTTTATCATCCAACTTCTTTCAAAGCTGACCCGAAACGTGACGAAATGCTACCGAATCGAAAAAATTCAAATGACTCAAGCTTGGTTTAAATCCAGACCATATCTCTTATGGAGTTACTTTATCAAGCTTCTCTGTAGAAAGGGCTTCACCCCTTAGCTCATTCGACAATTCTTTTCCCTTTAACATGCTTCTAACCATGTTCATGATCGATCGATTTTTCCTCTCGGTAACACCGTTTTGCTGCAATGTATAGGATGGTACAACCTTGTGCACAATCCCCTCTTCATCACAATGTTTCCCAAAATCATTTGAGACATATTCTTCTCCACCGTCCATTTTGAGAATTTTGAGTTTGTGACCGCTTTGCCGCTCATGGACTTAAACTTCTTAAACACATTGAATACCTCATCTTTTATCTTGATTAGGTACCAATAACATCCCAATTTTTATTAACTATTTTATTAGTTATTTATTTAATTATTATATGGTATGATAATTATTTAATTATTTAATTATGTGATTATGTGATAATTGGATTATTAAGTGTGATAATAGAAATAAGCTATTGAGCCTGACTATGATGAAATAGAAAGTAATAAGGGAGTGTGAGTTATTAAGCCCACTAATTATATACTAGTAGTAAAGAGAATGGTTAGAGATTAGAACCTCATTTGTGAAAAACAAGAGAAAAGGAGAAAGAGAAGAGAATAGAAGGGGAGAAGAGAAAAGAAGAGGCAAACCCTAAGAGAGATCTACACTCAAGGTAAGGGTGAGAATCTATGTTATTATGGGTATATGATGTATGCAATGGGTAGTAACATGATAGATGTTGTTGATTTCAATTTCTAAAATCTTACAAGTTA